TTAACCCTTGGGACTCTACATATGAAAAGGGAATGACCACTCTGGGTCTTCTTCTCAAAGAAGAAGGAATTGTGATTGCTGCTGATCATCGTGAGTTCGTTTACTAGGCGGCTATCCTTATTTATATATACATTCGCCTGCCGCCTTTTCATATGTGCTGTACCAACCTTACTAACTTACTTACCCTGTTGAGTTTAGCATACGACGCCGAACCCAACATTTTTCAACTGAATCATTGCATGGTGGCCACCATTTCCGGAGGAAAAGACAGAGGAAGAGACACTTCGTCGTTCACATCTCTGATCACATCTCTGCAACATCGGGTACTTAGAAGTTTACAATTTACATTAAGAGCCCCATGTTTTGTCTTGTATTATTTTATGGTGCAAACTAAGAAAAAATTTAAGAAATGAAAACTAAGAAAGGATTGTTTTGCAGGCTCGACATGTAACTTTGGTTAAGGATCTGGTGGACTGGCTGGCTAGCACTATTTCAGCTGAGAAAGAGTATTATTCGTCAGTAGGAATACTTATTGCCGTGTGGAACGAATCGGTACTTCTTTCTTTCTGTAATGTTTATTATTAATTTTTTTTTTTTTTTCTTAATATTCTGAAATAGAACCTTTCATACCCTAGTCTCTTAACTGTCTCTTACCTGTGTCCAGGAGCGTGCTCTGTATAAAGTGAATGGTAATGGGGTAATTACTAAAAATGATGTACTTGCTACTGGATCTGGTTCAAAAGTAACAATCTTTGTGAAACAGTATGCTCCTATCTCTTATATGCGTTCCTATGTGATTCATTTACATTATGTTGAGAGCTAAACAAACTCGTTTCTGGTTTTTCTTGTAGTAAGTTATAATTCATTTACATTGTGTTGGGTGCTATTTTGTCCTGTCGATTTTTTGAAATCAAACTACTTTATGATTTTTTTATTTTTTTTTGGTAGGAAGAACAGATTCATAGAGTCTGGAATGTCTATACCCGATGCCAAAGACCTTGCCAGAAGGGCTATTTGCATTGTTGCATATGAGGCTCCTCATTATGGGGATTTTGTTAGTGGTATTGTTTTAAATCTCCTGGCTGCTGTTAGTCTCTATATTTACTTTCTTGCCTGAGTGCCTGTTCGGTCTCTATATTTATTTTCTTATGCGTGCTTCTCTTCTCTGTTTTTAAGTTTGGCACCTCGGAAGTGAGGGCTTCCAAATGCTCCTTAAGGAGGATATGGAAGAATTTCATAGCCACCTGCCTTGTACGGCCAGGACCCAGGTTATTGGAGAAGGATGGTGATGCGGTAGCTCGTCGTCTTTGTTATTTTGCTTTGTTTGATGGTTTTCTGGTTACACCAAAATGTTGCAAGGGTGTTGATGTAATCAATATCTGTACTTGTTGTCTTTTCGTTAATATAATAATTCGTACTTCAGTTGTTTCAATAAATTTTTTAACAAGACTGGTAATTTATTGATTTGATTATATTTTGCGTCATGTTTTTGTTATTTGGATTAAATAAGTTTCTGTTTTTGAATTAAATAGGCTAGTAGAATCGAAAGAAATCAACACACTTGGAATGTCCTCAAAAATAGAATTGAAAAGTTTTCAAGTGTTGCTGGTTGGCCATAAATTTGCAAGGTTTTCGTTTTTGCACATTCGTCTCCTTTTGTTGAATGATAGAAATTCAACACAAACTGGCATGAACTCAACGTGGAGACATCATTGTACGGCAAACTCATGGTGTATTCATCAACTTGGATGCCATTGATAGACATATTTCATTATTTTGTACAAGTTAATGTTAGCCGAGTATTTTGAATTGAATTAGTATGAAAATAAGGGTGCATTGAAATAAAATTTAATCGAATTCGAATTGCTCCAACTTAACCTTGGGCTTGAGACGGGACAATGACATTTCTGGTAAAGCCGACAACTTTCGGTTGGTTCGTAAACTTCGACAGTTGAGTCTCAAGTTTTCAACTCTTGCACGCGGATCCAACAGTTGGGAAGTGATCATAAGGGACACGAACAAGACATTTGAATCCATGGAAGATCAAGAAAAATCTCCATATAAAATAAAGATGAAAGAACCTTTTTTTTTTTAAATAATCTGAGTTTCATTGTTGTTTTTCACTCACTTATTGATCAAGAAGAACTAAACATAAGTTACATATATATATATATATATACTAGTACAACGCCCGTGTATTACACGGGTGTTTGCTAATTTTTTTTTTCTTAAAGTCTAAAATTATGAGAAAAAGTAGTTGAAAATTTAAATACCTTTTATAAAAATATATATATTATTATATATTTAGTATAACACTTTTTATTTGTGCGACTTACCTGTGTTATATTATAATAATTTTTAACTTACAACATATAACTACATTAAAAATAAATATATCAATTGATACATAATTTTATTTTTCTAATGAATTTTAATAAATATTATTATTTTTTATTATTACAAAGATAAATATAATTTATTTATTTCATATATACAATATGGATGTCAAATCGAAGATCATTAAAAGATGATTAATTTGATATATAATGTATGTAAAAATGATAATAAATACAAAAGTTATCAAGTTTGAAAATACATTTACAATTCAATAGCTAATTGAAGGAAACAAATGGATATATTGTCACTTAGTGACTCATTATGTAAAATTACAAATAATTAATTAAAAGATTATATTAGTAGAGTCATTATGTAAAATTACAAATAATTAATTAAAAGATTATATTAGTAAGTGATATTAAAATACCTAAGTTAGATAAGTAATATTTATGGAATGTCCGAACCTAGATTATTAATTATTAATATATCAATATTATTTGTCCAAACCTAATTACGAACCATGATTCTTCGCCAAGTAGAATTCCAAAGCACCAGAAGCAGCCACGTAGGCTCAGTCCATTCAGGAGTTATATATAGGGAGG